TGGATGGATGGATGGATGGATGGATGGATGGATGGAGAGATGGATGGGTGGATGGGTAGGTGGATGGATGGATGGATAATGACAAGTATGGCTGTCTTTTGAGGCAGATTACATCATTGTTTCTAACTGGTTTCAGAAATAGTCTAAAGTAACTTGAAGTTGATTATTTAAAAAAAAATCCATTTACTACTCTTAGTTTTACTTTTCTTCGCATTTAACCAATACAAAGAAGGCCCTCTTTCTTCAATACAAGAACTTCATGTTTCTGCATGTAGCCACTTATGTCTCTGATCCTTTTCTTTGATAAGATGCACCCCTAAATCTGCATGAATCATCTTATTGGAATATATGTTCAATTTCCTCAACTCACCCTGAAAAATTGAGAGCTACACATACAATTTAACCTACTAGCCTCCAGCAGTGACACTGTAGCCTCTCATGATAAGTTTTTCAGGGAACAGAGTCTCTACTACCAGGTACAAGCTATTCAATGTGCATTTGTGGAATAAGTGAATTTTAAGATACTCTTGTAATCTTTTCACATTCTGCACTCATATAATTACAAGTGTTTCTTTTATGAAATAATTCAATTTAGATCAACTTTCCAAATCCCTACTTAGGAAAAAAAAAAGCACCTTGAAGTGTTCATACAGAACCAGCAAACATTTATATGGAACATTCCCCAGAAAACTCATAGGAAATTAAGCCAACATGAGCAAACGTTGATTTCCCCAGGGAAGTGTCCTTGTCCTTCTACAGAGAAATGGTCTCTAAACCTACATTGTTAAAATAGCCTATTTCCAGTGCTCCAATGTGACAGTGAAAAGAAATTAAGAAAAGCTGCGTGCCCGTGCCCGAAGCTGCCTCTTTCTCAGTTCTGCGCTTGTAAATGGAACCAATTTTCAAGACATTATGCCCGGTCCAAATAAGAAGAGTCGCTATAATCTTGAAAGACTGAAGGGTACCTATTTATTTTCCTTCTTCCTCCTCCCCTCTCTTTCTCTTCATCCTTCTCAGAGTTAAAAATATTGAAACTCTGATAATTCTTAAATATTACTCTCTGAGGCTGCGATTTCCTTTCATGTGCTAGGCATCTCTAAGACCCTGGTATAGGAGCCTAGGCATAAGGCTGTCATTTACAAGGGATAGCAGTACTCCCTTTGCCTAGCGACCAATAGGTTAGATGTGATCCGTCTTGGGGATGCAAGACTATATGGACTTTCCAGCACCACAGCGCAAAGTTAAGGGACAGGATGTGTAAGTGTAAGTGCATGGCGTAAGTGTGTGTGTATGTGTGTGTGCGCGCTCGCGAGCGTATGTAAGCACGAGTGTGTGTGTGTGTGTGTGTGTGTGTGTGTGTGTGTGTGTCCGCGAGCGCGTGCGCGAGTATGCGCGCTACTGAGTGTGTCTGGCTGGGTTAGTAGGGTTTGCTGGGGCGGGCTGTAAATAAAGGGTGGGGCCAAGAGGGGCGGAGGGAAAGCAGGACTGAGAAAGAAGCAAAAGCTGAGGTTGTATCACAGTAAACCTGAGAGAGCTCATCCTGCTTGGTCTGAGCGCTGCACCAACTCACCCAGTTCCCTCTCTCCTTGGGTGTCTTCTTCCCTCCTTTTCTCTCTTTTTCTCACTGCACCCTGAACCTTCTACCCACTCCCCCTGCCCATCACTTCAGCATCTGACCAGAGGACGAATGAGTGAGACGTTCCAGCAAATCGAGGTAGCAACTTTCCCCAGCTGGTCTCTGGGCTCCAGGAGCGGAATCCTGCTGATTCTTGGAGGTATGCAGCCCATGGAGGAGGAGGAGGACGAACAGTGATGGGCTAACGGCCAGTGCAAGGAGCCCCAAGCAGCTCCAGCTCAGTCTCGGAAGCCCGCTTCACGCTTGTTCCCTTCACCTCGCTCTCCTGAGAGCAGAGAGCGCGCGGTGTGCATCCAGGGAGAATGAGGCGGGGACCCAGCCCAAGTTGGGTGCATCTTGCGGGCGTGAGGCCACGACTGTGTTTCGGCATGAATTAAGAAGCTTGAAAGATGGAGCGCGGCACAGTCCTCATCCAACCCGGGCTCTGGACCAGGGACACCAGCTGGACACTCCTCTATTTCCTGTGTTACATCCTCCCTCAGACCTCCTCTCAAGTGCTCAGGATCGGTGAGTGAGCCTGCGGAAGCGCTCCAAGCCATGAGCTCCAGGGGTCGCGGTCGCTCCCTGTGGCCGGGCGGGCGAAAGCTCAGAGCGCCCCGGGCAAGGCAGCGCGCGCTGTTGCGGGGATGGGAGTTGGGGAGAAGGGGGTTACCGAGCATCCAAAGCTTCACAAGAAAGTGGAAATCGGTCACTGCTTCCCTCCTGACAGGTACCGGCTTTCCCCGGAATGTACGGTTGGGCGGGTTTTTCAATCAGAGGTCCAAGAACCTGAGCAATAGTGCCGGGATCCATGCTCAACTGGGTTGGCTCCTACTCTACCATCAAGTCACGCGCGCACCTTTGACCACTTGAATTGGGCAATTGGAGGCAGGGTGAAATCTCTCTTCCAGGTGCCTAAATGGATGTGCATCAATCCACTAGTCCGGATTACAGAAAAGCATGTCAGAACCTTAACAATAGAATCTCCGAACCATTAGCGCCACGGGAATCTCACACAGCGTGTTAGCTCAAAGCCTTCAAGTTTTCATCTGTAAATTACGTTCTTTTGTAAGGAGTCTAGAAAGCCTGAAGGTGTCCACTGGAGAGCTTGAGAGTGCACGGAGCTGGGAGGATGGTCCGTGAATACTAAACTTTCCTTTTCCCTGCCCAATCTTACCCACCAGCTTGCCACTCAATGTCTTCTAATCCCCAAACCAGACAACTTCCGGGAGAGGTTAGGCTTAAACCTCCAAAGAGATTAAAAAGAGACAACTAGAACACTAAGGATAGAATTTTTGGGGTGTCACAAACAATGGCCAGCATTACTAACAGAATGGCCATTGTAGTCCCTTGTAGATTGTATGCACAGCCTCACTGCCAAGATTTGCTCAGTGGAGGTCTAAGCTTTGGGCACCGACAAACCTCTAAAGTTTTTACTTTCAAACTACTGTGGTTTCTGTATTTTAATTTTCGGAGTGCTTTCTTAGTTCCTATTCTTATTAGAGATGGTCACTGGGAGTGAAGTATTGACTGCTGACATGTCCCCCAGCTTCTCCCATTTCTCACTTAGAAAATAATAATAATAATAATAATAATAATAATAATAACAATAATGAAGCCGGGACTTCAAGGTTTCCAACTGATACTCTTTCTAAGAATTGACTGAGTGGCCTGAGTGCGCTGGCTGGCTGACACCTTGCAGAGCAGTTCACAGTGAGACTCCTAAGCCATCCAGGTCCCTGAGGGAATACACCAGTACTGATCTTCAACTACTGAGACCCTCAGAATAAATCTGAACCGACTGCTTGCTTATTTACCTTTGCACTGAATATGTCCCCTCCCTTCCAAAAATATAAACTTACTCTGCGAGACGTTTTCTCTAGACACATAAAGTGTAGTTTTTAAAGGCAGGGAAAATCCCAAATACCAACTTTACATGTTTCTCCTAGACTATGGAGGAAAATATGCATTTGTTAGATAGTTTAGGGTTTATAGTGATAGATTTCCAAACAGATATTAAAGAATCACAGTTGATTATAACTTAAACAATCTTTGCCCAAGGTAAATGCAAGACTGGACTTTGGATGCGGTCAAATGTGCTTAGTTTAGCAAAACAATAATGTGAAGAACACAAAGTAATGAAAATGCATAACAATCTCCAGTGGTCATCAACTTAATAGGTGTTTTGCTCTTGTGTTATCCATCTTGAAAATGGCAACCTTGGGTTAGAAATGGCCTTGCCACGTCCTAAACAATCACAATCAGCTGCTTGAAAGATGTTTTCAAAATGAAAACAACCAACATCCCTCACTGACCTTATGATATTTGCCACAAAATAATCAAATTTCCTTCCTTTAAATATAAGCTACAATGCTTGAAGAAACATTGCATGTGCTGGTGTTTCTATGAAGCACACAGCTGGAGTTTATATGCAGCACACATATCTCCCTTCTATATCCCTGTGTGACCAGTTGTTGGCATGGGTGCTGACAGTCTGTATGTAAGGACCCACACATAGCTATTAGATGAAAAAAAATTTAGCACCATGGAAACCAGCTTTATCTCAGAGGGAACCTGCCTTTTACAGGGAGTCTCTTGTCAGTCAAGCCCAATGGTGAATGCAAAATATCAAAGGAACGGGGAACTAAACAAAACTCTATGTGTGAGAAGAAGAAATGAAATTGTGTTCATTTTCATCTCTTGTTGTTTCTCTTCTTAACAATCTTCCAAGTTCCCAGTCAACCAACAAACAGGGACTCTGGATTATCAACACACATGCTTGCTCAATAACTTGAAATATCTTAAAGTTCAGGATAAAAGCCACACACTTATAATTGTGTTTATATGGAACAGACAGCCAAATGTGCTTTATAGCTTTCTTGCAGTATCTGCTTAAACTTTAGCAACTGAGAAAAGTGCAACCGTAGAATAAATTTCATACATGGGATCTTAGAAGTTACTGAAAATGAATACACGTCAGGTTCTAGCATGTGTGATGGTGAATATGTCTTGGAATATGATTGTATCAGTAATAAAATCTTATATAAAGCTGGAAAACCACGAAGGGGATCCTATAGAGTGTGGTACGCTAACTGTCACAGTTGCATCAAAGAACTGTCCCAATATCTTACAGAAGAGAAATGTAAAATGACTGAAATATATGTACTTCCTGGAGTCAGTTCAGCACTCTTGTGTATGCCAATATATATCAGAATGCAGTTAGACATTGTATATGTTTAGTTAATCTGTGAGCCTCATCATCGTCGGCATCCACTAAAATGTCCAAACGTAGTGTACTGCCACCAATAGGGGAAATATCAGGTGTATGCATTCATAAAGGAGAAGAGTCCTTTCTATTAATAACAGGAAGCTTTATTTACTGATGTGCTTAGTCCATCATTCCAGCAGTCATGAACATGACGGAAAAGCATAGGACTAAGAGTGGCCAAGCTTCTGAAACAGTACTTGGTGGAACATGTGTAGGCTTGGATCCCACCTCCATCACTTACTGGGTGTGTGTCTCAGTGAGAGTTAGCCACTGTCAGCAGGCCTTTGTAATTGTATCTGAGAAGTCAAGTTAAAACTAAAAGGATCCTCCTTTAGTGTCCTATTAATAAAATTAATAGGAAGAGAGCATGAAAGAGGGTATGAGGGGTCTTTAAGGAGTAACTGGGTGTCAGTTGCATTATTGTTGTTTGCTTTTAACTTAATTTTATTATTGACATTTTCTTTACAATCCTAGGCTTAACTTTTAATGTCCTTTGTTTTTGTAAAACATTTAGTACTTCCAAGTCTAAATCCCTCGCCTGGAACTATCAGTATTGGCATATGCTCCTCATATTGTATTTGATGGTCCAGTCAAATACCAATTTTAGAGCTACAAAGCAGTTAGGTTACATAGCAAGCCAGGTAGTTAAATATCCCACATAAAGAGAGAAATGTGTCTATTTATATGAAGAAGTGATAATCTATAGTGGAAATCCTGTATCCCTTCTAAGAGGTCCAATTTGTTTTATGCCAACTGTTTTATGTCTATAGCATCATTTTAAAAAGATAATACCCAAAGTTTCCACTTGGGTCTGTATTGTCTGTATTTTTGATGCTGTGAAGTTCAGTACAAATACCAGATATTTAAAACTATCCTTACATGAGGGAGTCAGTCAAATGATAGAGATAAATAAAAACACACGTCTCTATGCCTTAAGCTTCTATTCTTTTGAGTTAATAGTCTTCACGACTATTAACTCAAAACACATACCCAATGAATTCTTCTCTACTGTGATACAATCATAAGCAAAAAGGACAGGCACACATAACTCTTGAAGCTGATATTTTGGTCATTTAAAATCTGCTATTACTTAGCTTTTATTAAACTTTTTAAGTTTTTCAGACATTATTTTGTAGAATTTTCAGCTCATGTACTGCCAATGATGTGCTTTATTTTGTAGATGAGAAGGATCACATTAAGCCTGCTTATGCATAGAGTATAAGCAGTTCATATTGCCAAACTTGGGAGAGGAACCTAGAGGGAAGTTGTTCCTGTGTTAAAAGACCCGCTTGGATTAAACAGATTCACACTTCCAGAGGCACTGGCACCTTGGGAAGTATGTTGGTCTTCACACTAACTTGAAATCCCCAGCTAGCCCTGGAAAGAATCCTGAAGGTCTATTTCAGTGTAAAACAAAACAAAACAAAACAAAACAAAACGAACAACCAACCAACCAAACAAAAACAAAACCAATGGGGTTCCTAGCTAGTTCTAATACAATCCTGAAACCAACAAATCATTTTCCTTACACTTTTCTCTGTATCATTTAGTTTTAAGGCCGAAATTGATTTTGTAAGCCTGATGTTTATACCATGTTCCTCTCAACTTTGGCTTCTTTGCTGCAGTTTGTGATCTCTGGTTTTCATTGGGAAACAGTGTGGTTTGGCAACTCTCACTAAATTGTTAGAAATGTGTGACTAGGAAGGTAGCCCTTAAAGCACGTTCCTTTTATGAAACATTCAACAAATGTAATCAAGTTGGAGAGGAAATGAATACATATGCCTAGAAAACATGTTTTTAGCTCATGGTATGGTTGATTGAAATGGATCTGAACAAGAGTACTGGAGACAGTTGTAGCTCTCCTGCAGCCTTCCCTGTTTTCCATATTCTTATTCCTATAACACAAAAATATGACTCATAGCCAGAAAGTTTATAAAATCTATTTGTATCAGAAGACAGAGTGATGAAGAAATCCATGAAGAAGGAGATTCACATATCTGACTGTGATTTTAAAACTGGTCTACCACCAGAAGGTTAATTACAGACATGTAGCCTTGAAGTAAAAGTGAATTGTAGTAACATCTGTACAGTGCACAAGAGGTTGAAAAACTCAATGAAGACATGTCTTCACTTTCTGTATTAGTGAACAGGACAGGAGGTCTGTAATCTAGAATGATCCCTTTCACTGATCTAGTGTGTGAAATTGCCCTTGCTTAAGGACTCATGAAGTGTATTTTCATATTACAAACATATAATTGCA